AAAAAATTTTGCCCCCCCCCGGAAAATTTAACGGTTTTTTTTCCCCCCCCCCCCCTAGAAAGTTTTCTACGGGCGCCCATGTGTGTACAATATTGATTTCATGTCAGTTTAACATTGATTCCCCAATTTATTGAATTTAAGCTTTCATATGTTTCACGCTAGTTTCATTTGTTTTCAAAGTAATTTCATAGTGGTTTTAGGCTAATCTCAGATTGGTTTTATGCTAACTTCATATTGGTTTAAAATCCAAAATATAATCCATAAAACATAAAAAAACAAGCAATCTTCCAGTCAAAAACAGTTCGCTACCATTAGGATTTTATTTGCCGAGAGTAAGTACATTCGTTGATATCAGAGAAGTCAAGCCGTAAAGAATGTCTAAGCGTGTTGAGGTTTAGGTTGTAAAGCTTAATTGTTGTAAATTTTGTTGCATGTCTTACTGAACTAATGTGTGACTATATCAAATTTAGACAAATTTCGAGAAGATCAAATTCAGACACATTTTGACAAGCTCAAATTAAGACAGATTAAATCTTAAATCATAATTTTTCTAATTACCTTTACAGATCATTCAACGTTTGAAAGGAGTAAAAGTATCTGAGAGTAAGTGACATGGATCTTCATCTAGACTGTAGTCTTGGTATTGTGAAGTGTTTGAAATCTCTGTGGGAACAACAGGATTTTCTGGATTACGAAGTTAAAGTTGAAGATGAGACCTTTAAATGCCATCGGTTGATTCTGGCGACATGTTCTCCCTTTTTCAACGCACTATTTAGATCCAACTGGAAAGAAACAACCGATAAAGTCACAACTCTAAATGATATGTCCTCCGCAACATTCAAGCTGATTCTTACAGCCATCTACACGGGAAGTGACGTGCTGACGGATGAGAATGTGGTTGACGTGTGGAAGGCCGCGCACATGCTTCAGATTGATTTCATGATAAAACATTGTGAAAAAAAGATTGTCCAAGGACTGACTTTAGACAACTTTAAAATGATGTATGCACTAGCTAAATTACTGGAATCAAAACCCGTTGTAAATGGTGTAGTAGAACTTATAATTCGAAACTTTGACAGTGTAAGACATTCTAAGACTTTTTGGCTACTTTCCCCTGATGAAATGTTAACAGTAGTGAAAAGCAATGAGATTGTTGTCTTCTCTGTAGATAATGTCTTGGACGCCATTTTAAAATGGGTTGACGACTGCAAGGACGTTGATGTATGGGGCACGGACAATGATGGAGCGAAGCCTCAAAGCCATGTAACTGGGGAGCACGTTAGTAATGAATGCACGGAGGAAGAAATAGCCACTATTTCCGATTCTTCAAGGAGAAGTGATAGAGTCGAGAAATGTGTTGATGGGGTACCATTTAAAAAATCCCCTTCCATGGAGTCTGTTGAAGCAGAAGATTCGTTTTTAAATGGAGAACGATCTGGTGAGCAGCGAGGTTCTAGATTACGAATGTTGGCCCCTCTACTTAAAGCTGCCCGAGTGCGTCTTGCCACCCCCGCGTCCCTGGACAAGGTATTTAAAAATGTCTTGGTACAGGCAGACCATGAGGCTAGAAATATTATTTTCGACGCCGTCATGTACCAACTGTCCACAAGTAGAGACACACAATCTCTCCAGCGCAGTGGATTTGGAGGGTTTGGGTCTTTTGGAAATTCTTTTGGAGTACGAAAATAGAAACTTTCCTGTGACTCATGAAGAGTAAAAAAAAAAAGAAATACTAGCAATTTTTTGCAACTTTTAGAGTCGTAATTTAAACATCCTTTTTTAAACAAAATTTCCTGTTCTGCTGCTTAATGTCCTATGGATTACATCGGGTCGACTTCGGAGAAAAATGCATGTTTCGTTAATTTTCTGAATACAATAGTGAAGAACTTGAAGCTTTTATTTCTTTCACAACTAGCCAATATACCCGGCTTTGATCGCGTTTGTGCTCGAAAATAAAACCTTCTAAAAACTTTTATCGGCGTACTTGTAAACCAAGGGCCCTGTCAAAGACTTTTAGCTTAGGTACAAACTTTAAAATATAATCTTCTCCTATGAAAAGCCAAATCGATAAATAACTCGTGTCAACTTTGAATTTAAGGCCAATACCGTTTTAGATATTATTCAAGCCGGGCACAGCCACACAAAAAAACAACCAAAAAAAAAAAAACGAGATTTTTAAACAAATACAACTTTTAAAATGATGTCGTTTTAAAAATAAAAGTATTCACCAATGCCGAAGCTAAGGCCGTTTATCACTTACAATAGAATAGGAACCCCATTCCAAAAGGGGTCACTTGCTGGTCCAACAATATGGAACACTATTCCAGTTGATCTCAGAAACAGAGACACTGGAGTCCTTTAAAACTGATTTAAAGACACATCTATTTCGCAAACACCTTCTGGGATGATTGTCTACCATATTTACAATTTAATGCATAATGGGTGTGTGGCTTAGGGTTGAAATGGGTAGAAAGGCTTTGACTTGGTTTGCTTGTAATTAGTTTTTGTAGTGTTGCGTTTGTTTTAAATGTGGTAAATTATAGATGTGGTTGACTTCGTACCGCGCTTCGAGCCTTTGGGGATGAAGCGTGTTTTTTAAATAAACTTTATTATTATTATTATTATTATTATTCCTAAGAACATCATTTAGAAAAATATTCAAGTTAATTTTTCAAATGTATCCTATTTAAAATGGGGAGGAATTACCACATATATTGCTTTTAAAACTTTTATTTTTGAGAACCCTGGCAATGAAAGAACTTCTATATTAAGTTGTATAACTTTTTCTTTTTTAATGTCTCATTAAAATTAGTTGGAAAACGCTAAAAGTAAAGCGTTTAATTTTAAAATAAAATCAATTTACACTAAGCTAAAGTTTAAATACACTTTGGATGCCACTCATACTGTCATTATCTTTATATTTACATGGAACAATTTAGAGTTTGCTGAAAAGTTCTATACATTTTAAACCTTCAAATAACGAGTAAAAAAATGCTCTTTTATGATGGCAACTCATCTAAGAGAGTGAAACTCTGAAGTCAAACCCCGGAGATGGAGTCCCGTAGGCGGATAACATTGGTACGATGAAACATTCCGACAACTCCTGCGGCGCCACTGGTGCCGAGCTGTAGCATCCACGTGATGTTCCCTTGGGTTATCCAGCGGCGTAGAGAGAGGCGATTTGCTGTTGGGAACCAGATTATAATCCTAGACGAATGATCTCAGGCCATGTGGATTTCGTCCTGCGAAGTCCACACCATCGTCACATTGTGACGCACGGATGCCAAAAAAAAAAAATATCAATAGTAAAATATATAGAGTAAATGATTCCTACAGTTTTCTATTGAAGTGGATATTTAGCGGATAAGTAGTCAAGTTAAAATTTAAAAGATTGAAATCGACTGGAAAATGTAAGATATTGTGTTTATATGGAATGTGAATATTATGAGGTTAACAACCTAAGTTTTTTCAATATATATTTTTAAGTTAATTTGTGTCATGATTGGTCTTGATCTTTCTAGTAATTGTAATTTTATTTATATAGCTCATGTCAGAAAAAAAATAGTTTTAAATTGGGGCCCCAATTAACCCCGAACGGGGTATTTAAAAAAAAAAAGTAAAAATACAAAAAATAAATCGTCAGCATTTTCTTCTGGATAATGAAGTGAAACAACTATGTATCCCTTGTTTGTTTGAAATCCATTAATCCATGCAGAAATGTGTGCGGTACAGACATATTTTCTCATGTATAGAGAGACACACGGATGAGCATTTGAAATCTTAATGAGATATGTCTTTATTTGAGACATATACGTATTGAAAAAAAAAATCACCATTTACATAGTTGATGAACACCGATATGACGTTTAAGTATTTTTCTCCATTGTTCACCGTCTGGTACAGTTTTTAAATGGAAAAATTACTGTGTTATTACATGAAGTCATTAGACCTCTAAACAGGAACGTATGGTGCTTGGCTTTTAAGAAACTTGTAATGAATTTACATGTCACTACTTTAATTTAAAAAGGTATATCTCCTCTGGAAGAAAATTGTTGTTAAGTGTGTAAACATTTTGCAGTTGAGACATTAGTATTTAGTATACTCATAAAATTCACCTACCCATTCATTGACGTAGATTTAATAAATTATTATTTATGGGTTGAATCACACACTTGAGATACTCCCCTCTACACACCCATCTAACATATAAAGTTGGTTAATATATAATATTGCTACTAGGACGGTAACCTCCTAGGTAACCCCAAAAGCACCCGTTATGCACGCCCCTGAACTATGTGATAATTTATAATCTAATCTTAAAATGTGGATGTTGTTGATAAGGGTCAAACCGAAACAACACCTGACTTTCTCGATTTCTCAATAATCTCCCAATCAATCGTTTTTCAATTGATTGGCGGGGCTTGATTTATCAGGCCATCACTATTACACTAATTATAAGGGTCAGTATTAAACAGTGGGTGGGCGACTCAACAGCTCGTAAGTGCATCGCCATAATTTAAATGTATAGATTTCATTTATGTGTATATATAATATGTTATAGTAAAGCATCAAAATTTTAATAAATAACCGTTATTTAGCATTAAGGTGGTACGTGTACAATACTACTTCATTAGTTATAAGTCTTCCTTATCATTAAAAATGTGTACACGCTGTTTTAAAGCTTTGTCTTAAGAGTCGTTGTTTTTGTTTGTGCCTTGTAATACTTGATTTGTTGGCGTGCTTATTTGGTGTGGAGATTTTTATATGTGTCATCTGTTGTCATGTGGTTTGTAGTGGTGGCGTATTTTGCGAATGAGAGGTGACGTTGTTCAAGTTGTTCACACGTTTTGTAGTTCGACAGATGCAGAGAGAGAGAGAGAGAGAAAGAGAGAGAGAGAGAAGAGAGAGAGAAAGAGAGAGAGAGAAGAGAGAGAGAGGAAGAGAGAGAGAGAAGGAGAAAGAGAGAGAGAGAATGAGAGAGAGAAAGAGAGAGAGAGAGAGAGAAGAGAGAGAGAGAGAGAGATTGGAAGGAAGAAGGCACGCTTAGGAGGGCATGTTCTAAATTTTTTTTGTGAGCTGTTCAGATCTGGGATGAAGGAATCTCAGACTCCTGCTAAGAAGTGAATACGTATTTATATGGAGGAAAAGGGATTGGGAGGTATGGATGAGTTCCCACCCTTTTTCCTCCACTGCTTGACCCTTGGTTAAGTTGTCTTTTGGTTACACCATATCTATGAAAATAATCATTTTAGACCTTGCCTTCACTACCCCACCCATCTCCTCATTCTGCAAAGTTTTCTACACCACCAATCTCCTCATTCTGCCAAATTCTCTACTCTGATGTACTTCTTTTCATTCTGCTCTGCCTATTTTCTCCCACCCAACCCTCAACTCCATTCAAATAGTTTATTCTCACTACACTCTTTTTTTTTTTTATTCTCAGGGGCGTATAATTAGGGTGCACAGCTGGTGGTTGCCCGTGGGGCAGCGCTTTCTATTTTTTATTTCTATTCAGGGGCGGCATGTTCGACCAAGCGCCCAGCTTTTTTTCACGTAAGTGGCGGAGATAAAAAAAAAAAGAAAGCTGTGGCCCGTCCCGGGGCTGCACAGAAACCAGCTACGCCCCTGTTGATACGCCTCCTCACCCGTGTCACATCCCACCCCACCTTCCTTGACCCACATCTACCCTATCTATCTCTTTTACTGACACTTAATCATCTTACCACCCTACATTTGAATTTCTGAATAGCTTTTCCCTTCATGTGTAGAACATATTTAATTCATGCACCCGGTAAAAGAATGGGAACTGAAATTACAACTAAAAAAAAAAGCCGGCATAAACAAACCAGTTACATATATAAGACACATTTTCAAACTCCTCAACATATTACAAATACTAAAAGCACGCATCTCTTTTCAATGCATTAGTAAAATTTAAAAGCTTTCCTATGTATTGTTTGTGGTGTAATGATGTGTTGCTTTATTTTTAAATATTAATTATATTTAGTGAAAAAGAAAGAAACATTGTCAGAACAGCCTCATATAAATATTGCACTGGTCAGCGCACATTGCTATGCCTCGGTAGAGCATGAAATTCCAACTGTCTGCCTAAATGTGTGCAAAAATTAAAATGCCTATGCAGTGGCGTAGCCAGGGCTGGTGTCACCTGGTGAGGTAAAGTCATGGTGTCATCCCTTCCCCCCTACTTCCACGATGGATTTCTTCTTGTTAACGTAAGTTTACAGAATAAAATGACAAGACCAATAAAACAATTAACTGAAGGTGAGGAGGTAAATGTATTTAATAACTTTAAGAAGTGCATAGAATCGCCCGACAACTTCGTATCTAATAACAACGGAAAGCTTTATTTCTCAGATTTTTGAAACATATATAGCTTCCCCGTCACTTACAAAAATTTCAATTGGCATTAAATCATGGTCAAAACGGTGTTTTTCTGACCTAATTATAACGTCACCTCATTTCTGACGCACCATCCTTGACCTTTTAATAAAGCACGTCTTTGGATTTGTTACATGTATGATACATTTACGTGTGATCAGTTATCCCTTTATGCGCTTTGATTGGACCGAGTAGTGTTTGTTATGTAAATAGGCAATTTTTCAATTTGTTGTCACCCCCTGAGATGATATCACATGGTGCGGTCCACACCACCCACTACCTCTTAGCTACGTGACTGAGCCTATGATTTACCTGAGAATCATCAACAGGAAGGGGAAGACGAGCAAAATAGGATGACACTGATATCAAGTAATCAAATTACCGATAACTGAGCTAAATGAGATTCTTCTTTTTTTTAAAAAATATATAGTAAGAGCGTTTAGGACGTAATATTTTTTCCCCCTAAAATTGTTGGTGAAATAAAACTTCAGTGTAAAAGCGGGGCGGTCAATGACACTTTCTAGACAGGCTAACGAGGTCGATCACCGCAACGGAAGTCTCGGCTGCACTTCTCGCAGGTGAAAACCTTGAATGCTCGTTTATTTTGGGCTTCCGTAATGCTCTTTCATTTTACAGAGGCTTCGTTAAGCGCAGCTTCTGCCTGTTGGGTTCTAACATTCCCTGGTGTTCACCAGACAGAACCGTGAAAACGTTACTTGCCCGTTCGCCGAAATCAGTTTGGACTTATCTCATATTTCTTTTACATAATTATGTCCTTATAGCTTAGCCGCGGCAGTGCAATATGTATTGCCCCACTTCCTTTGGCGTTTTACCATACATCAGGTCCTTCTTCATAAAAAAAATATCTGTGAGTTGTTTTGTGTGATTGTTAAGTCATATGTTTTTACAAACATTATTTATAGCTTAATTCCCTCTACCGTTTTAACACAGCTATGAGACACTTCATATGGAATATTGTTAGAAACTCATTTGATGCAAATGCTCACCCCCCCCCCCCCCCATTTTTTTTTTTTTTCTATTTCACAGTTGTTCTAATTTCCATGTGATCAGCAATAAGTCTTATTGTAGAAATCATCACCCAAAATGGTTATGGATAAAGAAGTTTGTTTTGGTATCGTCGAATCTATTGAGTCACTTTGGGAGAGACGAGAACTTGTGGACTTCACAGTACAGGTTGAGAACCATGAAATCAAATGCCATCGATTCATTCTTGGGGCATGTTCTAAATTCTTTAGTGCAATGTTTAGATCTGGGATGAAGGACTCTCAGAATGATTTCGCTGTAATCGAACATGTTTCTCGGGATATTTTTGTGGACATTCTCAGAGCATTGTACACCGGAAGTGATGTTTTGACCCAAGACAATGTCATAGCTGTCTGGCACGCGTCGAACCTTTTACAGATAGACGTCATGATTAGACAATGCGAGAATAAGGTTGTGCAGTGGCTGACGGTAGAAAACTTTGAAAACATGAGCATCAATGCAAAACTGTCAGATTCAAAAAGAGTTTTGGAAACCATCTTTGACTTCATGTTAGCGAATTTTGAGAAAGTTAGGGACACCCAGACCTTCTTGGAAATGTCCCCGGGTCGGTTCCTCGATTTTATTGAAAGCTACAAGCTGGTGGTTGGTTCTGAAGACTTGGTTTTAGAATCTATTTTAAAATGGATTGAGTATTCACCAGAGGGATTTCCAAATTCAAGTGTCACATCATTTGTAGCAAAATCTTCTTCAGAAATGGTCGTTGCTAATTTCACTACAGAAACAAGTTCCAAAAATACTGAAAATGAATTGAATGCATCTACATCTTTCGAAACTAAAATTTTAAAAACATGTGTTTCAAACAGTTCTGTTGGTGACAGTGCCAGTGACACAAGCAAAGCTGATGCCAAAAGCGTGGTGCCTCACATAAAACAAGAAAATAAACCTAAAAGACTTGACATGCTGACAGATTTGATTAAAGCTGCGAGGACATGTTTAGCGAGTCCAGGATGTCTTCAGTGGCTTTATGGAAATCCACTTTGTGAGTCACTGCCTGAAGTAAAAGATGTCCTTTTTAAAGCTTCAATGTATCACTGTAGTGGACAGGGACACTTGCTTAGAGCGTCTTCGCACAGGATTGGAAGTGAACTAGAACACTTTGCTGTCTTCTCTACACATAAAGAAATAAAGGCTTATTCTATGGAGAGAGATGAAGTATTTCAAATACCGTTGTGTGGAGCGCTAAGCGCACACTCTATGCGTTTTCTTATCTCTGAAAATGATATATATACTTTTAGGGGAAATTCGTCTATTTATATTTTAAGAGGTTACACATGGCAAACAATGTTCAGCTTAAATAATAATGCACCAAACTTGATAAATCATGACAATTTTTTTTGGGAATTAAACGGGCAATATGGAAAAATCAATAAATTCAATCTAAGAAATGCCAATGAAACTGTGTCTCCTTTTGTTGATCTTCCTGCCAATGTAGAACGCGTGGATCTTTGTTTGAGTTGGAACAAAAGAATTCTGCTGTTCTCTAATGAATACAACAACACCAACCAAATTAATGAAACTATCGTTCATTCACTAGATGTAAGTTTAAAAACATGGACAAAGCTGGAAAATATGAACGAATCCATGGCCTGGGCAAAAAGTTTCAGGGATGATACGACCACATATATTTTACAAACCACTGGAGAAGTGTGGGCAGTTTTGGAGAGAACACCTGATGTTATAACTTTTGAATGTTTGGGCAAAATGTGGGTAAAGCCAAAAAGCATCTTAGGCGCCGTAATATATGAGAGAGAGCTTATCATATTCGGAAACAATGATACCAATGACCTCCCCGATATAACTAAACTCTCCTGTCCCCCTGATTCCTTTACAAAGATACGCTGTTACAGTTACAGCGATAATATATATTCAAATGTCGTCTTTGCTGCTCTACCGAAAAAATATTATCCTTCACCTTCAAAATAAACTGTTTACAAAGAGTAAGTAAAATGTTGATGATGTGATGTAAACAGAGAAAAGAGTCTTGACTCCGTTTTTCGAAGTAATGTATTTTTTTTCTTTTAAAAATTTCCGAAAATAAGAGAATGATATGAGTTTTAATGCTTTAAGCATTGAAATAGAAGTGACAAATGAGAGAGTAGCGTTCAGTCCCTGGGTCACAATCCTATTCCCACTAATTACTCCATCAAATAGATCCGTGCACCTAGGAAATATGACCATCTTCCACCTCCAATACATTTAATGGTAGTATTGATGGGATTTTATCTTCTCGTGTGAGCCGTTAATTAGGCAATTTGTACAATTAAACAATGTTTATGTTCATAAAAAAAATATCAGATTGCAAAAATGAATGTTAAAGAGATTAATCACCCTTAATTTAAAATCGTCTTCGTGTATTTTACAAATGCCTATAGATTTTAAGCAGCTGAGTTGTTTCAGTTTTAAATCTACATAAGTTGTTCAAGCTGCTAGTCGGTCTGTTCTTATGAATTTTAAGTTATGTAATCAATTTTTTGTTTTTCTTTACACTGTCTGCAAAAACAAATTAACTAACCGCCTTGCACCTTAATCACATGATACAACCATATATTATATTTGATGTATGACTATACAATTGTTGGATTCTATTTTTTTTCCCCCAAATGTACTCTGTAATGCGATTGTGTCCATTATTTAATAGTATTTATTTTTCATGAAATGTTGTTTCTTGAAACTTTTCAAATCCCTTGTTTGTAAATATTCTTGTCTGTGTATCATTTTGTCTAAACAATAACAGAAATGTATCTTTTGAAATACTATCTTAATACAAAAACTATTTTGACGAATTATTAGTTTTATGCTCCTCATGTTTATTAGATTAATAAGGCACGAACAAATTGTGTCAATAGAACAATATGAGTTAGCTTTAATAATAATAATTATACATTATACACAATTAAACGTTTCGGCACATGCCTTCATCAGTACAAACAAACAAAACACATTTAAATAAGTATAAATTAAATTTACATCATATCAATATACATATCCTACCTAAAACAGAAAAAATATAGGAGAGGGCGCTTAAACCAGACAGAAACAAAGTAATGAGATGTAGAGAGGAAGTGATTTTAACATAATTGGAAAAACCAAACAGGAAAAAGACATGGCAGCTAAGTAAAACTATGGATTTGGTTCAATCCTCATGTTTATGTCTTATCAGGGAAATTTTTGTTGTTGAAACAATTGTATTCATTTGTCATGATGTATCAATAGCGATTATGGATTTAATATTGGCCAATATTTTACTCAACTATTGGCTCAAATATTTGATAAAAATTACATTTGATTTCTATTTTTCGCTCATCCAATTTTACTAACAAGAAACCAAAAATATTTATATGGTAAGGGTATGAAATTATATGAAGTAAAAAAAATACATCAACATTTTTTTTTAATTATTTGCAAAATTAAAAAAAAAAATTATAACAGAAAAGGTTAATTACAAAAATATTCCATTTTTAAAAATATGATGATTGATTTCTTCAAGCATTTTTTTCCAAAATTACATAAGTTCATTTAGCAATTACTGTCTATCAACTCCATTGAATGTTATTTAACACATAAAGCATATCATCTTTTCATCACAAATATAACGTGACTTTTGAAGGATGGGTGTGGTTAATACTAACCGTTATTATATCATTGCCTGTTTTAGTTCATTTCACTTAGTCTTTAAAAACTTAAATTCGCTTTGCTAACCATTTTTAAGTCATATCTTTTTTAAAGGAAAGAAACAAAATAACCATAATTTCCTACTGTGCGATGTCAGAATGTCTGCTTTCAATACATCAGATTTACCTTTACTGGCTGTCTGTGTCAGGTCACAAATTATTCATTTAAAGTTTGAAAAAAATCCTCTAAATCAAAATTAAATTTTGAATTTTTTTTATACCAGATAAAACGTTTGAGGGTCATCTTAAACACATGTGTTGGTGTTGGTATGTTTTGTTGAAGCTGTATAGTCCCTTATTGAGCATGAATATTATTTTTAAACATTGATAAATGTAACTGGTAAAAATTATATTGATTTTCACAAATTTTCCAGAAAGAACAAAAACGTTCGTATGTAACTTTATTTTCATATTTTGTCTTCTTATTTAATAATTTTCCACATTATTTTAACATATCATTCATCATTTGACCTATGAACTATTGGTATAATTTTAGATGACACAATAATGGAATATGGATATAAATGGTGTGGAAAAAATTTGCAACATTTTAAAGGAAATAGCATTAAGGTTCATTAGGACCTTTCTCAATAGCTGTCGAGTATGAGCGTTCATTAGTAATTGTTGCGACTCAATATTATGTTCATTAGTTGTTGAACGCTTTTCCCGCGCTTGACTATTATAGTTTTTGAACGCTCTTCCCACCATTGTCTCTATGACGTATTTTATGCTGATTCGTGACGTATTGTCTATGCAGTATTGTGACGTATGTTTTAGTCGTGCGGCAGTCTTGAGTGGAACTTTGAAGTGATAGGATGTTTATTATTTAGGTCTGATAGCGAGCTGCGCTATATTCACGTGTTATGTGTATTATATTTACTCAGACATTAAAGTTATAATTATTTCGAAAAGAAGTTGACTTTGTTCAATGATGGTAGGAATAGTACGAAGCATTCAACGTGTGAAAAGAATTTGACGAATGTAATCAATCCAAGAAGACTGTAGGAGTTGTGTTACAGAGAGCTTGTTTACACAATATTTCTCGTACGTGCCCTCTGATTGACCCCGCATGAGACGCTGTGTTCACAAAGGGGTGTGGCTTAGGTCTTTGATGTATTTCTTGTTTACACCGCCAGCCACTAAAAATAATTAATCTGTTCCAAATAGTATTTGGTAGAATGATTGGGATTTTTCTCGAAATGTCTCGAAGGCAGGGCTTGGGCGTCGGTAGACCCACCTATATAAGGGATTGACAGGCACGGACGACGGACGGAGATTTTTTGAGATAGATTCTCTTAACAATTACGAGGCGTGTTTTATTCTTTGTGTATTTGTGTGCTCCTACTTATATGTGTTTATTTCGCATTATTTATTGGCATCATTATTTCTAATTGTATTAACTGTGTACCGGTACGACATCTACCATACTGTAAGTTGAAGATTGTAATTTTATTTTATTTTATTTTGTAATTATCTTAAGACATAATAAATCTTAATTAATTGTAACTAGAAACTGTTTTGGGTCGTATCCTTAATATTGTTGATTATATGGTATCGTCCTTTGTTAGGCACTGTTTACAACGAGCCAATTAAAATTAAAATAGGAGATTAATTTCTCCCAATACAAGTCAGTGCGTAACAAGTTGACAATAGCGTACATTGACCTGTCGGAGATCATTTTTGGTCAACACATCAATGACATGAAAAGAACCTTTCTTGCTAAATAATGTAATGACATCATAAACCTTATCAAGCACATTTTGTGTTTCAGAATATAACTTTAGTTTATGGCGTCTCTTCACAGATGGTCAAAACGTAATTTGAAATGCATTTTTTTAAATAATGGCAACAAATAGGGTTCTTTTTCCAATTGGTCAAAAATACACAACATATGTTTCTCTTTGTAGTATTCATACATTCCTCGGTGAGTAGTCTCGTTTAGACATTTAACTATAAGTATACCATTTAACTAAAATTTAATGCAACTTATCTTTCCACAAAAAAATAATACTTAATATAATATGATTTAAAAAGAATACAATATTTGTTAAGAACTTGAGTTTCGACAACAGCCTGCAAATTTGTTTTCAAATTTAGTTATTTAGTCTGTTTGTTTTTATAACATTAATTACTTTTATCACTATGGTATTTACATTTTGCAAACAAAAGATACATAATTGTGTTTATCTTTATATTGGAATGACTGTAAGTCAATATTGTCATTAAATCAAAATTGCTTGCTATACTTATAAAAGTAACAGGCGGAATGGTCTATTATGACATTACTTCTAAACCATAGTCCTGCAGCCAATGATACACACCTCATACAATCCTACACCATATCCCTGATTAATTCATACGTCCCGCACAACATCCTTTTTCCCACTCAGTACTATTATATGTGGAGTTGGGGGAGGGCGGTTTCGAAAAGGACGCAGGACACACCAGACTCAAAATATCTAAGAGATAACCATTTATGAATTTAAAATATTTACATCAAAGTCGATGCTCTTGCATTTTGTCCAACTGGACACACACGTTAGAAAGCTAGGATCGAATATAAGAAAAAATGACAGTGGCCAATAAAGAATGACTCGGTGTTTTAAATAACACGAAATCCATTGAAATGATTTTACATGGATCTGAATTACGAAATGTTTTGAATGGACGGGTCCCCTCGTATCGCACTGCAGCACTTGTCTAGGAAGATGATAACATATCATGATAACATATCATGATAACATATCATTTATATACTCAACAAAGTGTGCCCTTAACATCATCAACACCATGAGAGTGGAAGAATTATTTTTGTTTTAGTTAAGAGATTTTTCTTGCCAATAATGAGCTCCGTTACATAATTCATTGTCAAAGCGTAAGAAGGGCCTCAGTATAGGGTCACGTGACATAGTTTTGATTTTTGACTCATTGATTTTTACACGCCTTCAAAAGAGATATTTATAATTGAACAAAAATCGATCACTATTGATTTGTGGGCATAGTAATGTCACGTGACTCTTTTGGAAGGAGCCGGTCCAAACCGGTCGACCGTAGTGGGTTCGGGATCATTCGCCGTGTTTGTGAGCTGGGATCACATTGAGGTAGGCTTAGATGTTGACATTTTATTTTTAAAATAAATCAGTAAAGTGTATAACAGAATGTGTTTTGTGTGCTTAAAACTTTATATGCACACTAAGCTAGCTGCGAGAAGATATACAATAACGTTTGGAAGAAAAGTATTGGCTTATTCGATTACATTAAAGAAAAAATTGCTCAGTAAATGACATAGCTAACGTTACTTCTGTTGCCACATCAACTACACTTTGGTCCATGTATGAACATTTTAGTTTATGTTAGTTTGAGCAATTACATATATAAAATATAATATGGGCTATGTTCATTATTCTGTATATATTTTATACTTTATTTGGGGGTTTGCGAGAGGGCCATGTCCTTAGAAGAGTCCCAAGTCGTCATTCGTTAAAACGACTGTTGCTACCAATGCGAGCCAGACGGTCTTCAAAACACTAAATCCATATTGGAAAGAAATGTTCCCAAGATTGTGTTAACTAATCCTAAGAAATGAATGGTTATTGTCTTTCCCATGACTTTATTTTTTTTAAGCCTTGAAGGTTTTATTTATAAATAATGAAGCTGTCACAAATTTAAGTAAGGGATTTTGTATCATTTCTCCACTATAAAGAGTTTCAAGAAATCGCATTTTAATAGATGGATGCGTTTATTTTTACGCCTATTATTAAAATAGACACTTTACATTCTCTTTAATGTTGACATTCACCACAGACCGAATGATCTGCTGTGACTTTATTTAAGTAACGTAAAGATAATTTAAACTAATTAAATTGATAATAATCTTAGTTTTGACGAGGCTTCAAATTAATATATTTAAAATAATTTATCACGTAAAAGGTGCTATACAATGTATTAAATGTGTATGTGTCAAGGATATGAATATATGAACCACTTTTGGGAGACAAGTAATACGATTAATATCCCTTGTATAATATACAGAGTGTTGGGACTTTGGAGGAACTTGCCTAATCGCAGTTTTGGTTGAATAAGAGAGTTTTGTTTTGGAATGGAGAGAATAATGGTGGAATAAACTGAGACTTTTGACATTGTATCAAGATTTGTTGATAACTTTAAGAAGTACACGTAAAAGAACATTATTTGTGTGTGTGTGTCACGGATGTGAATCACTTATGGGAGACAAGTAATACTATTAATATTCTTTGTATAATATACAGTGTTGGGACTTAGGAGGAACTGACATATCGGAGTTTTGGTCGAATAACTCAGTTTTGTTTTGCAATGGAGAGAAGAGACCGTTAAGATTGTATCAAGATTTGTTGATAACTTTAAGAAGTACAACTAAAAGAAGATTATGTTGTGTAGACGTTTAATAGTAGCTGAAATTCGTGTTATATAATTCCAAGTATCTTCAGATTTTGTGAAACGTATTTATCATTGTGAATGTCGATATTAAAATCAATCACTGTTTCGACACTATCGCCTCGGGAATTATTTATAATGGAATATAATTTGGACAGCAGGATTAATTAATATCGTGTAGAGCAGCGGTTCTCAACCTGTGGGTCGCGACTCCTTTGGGGGTCGCGAGACCATTTCCCAGGGGTCGCCTAAGACCATCTGAAAACACATATCCTTACAGCTATGAAGTAGCAACGAAAATAATTGTGTGGCAGGGGGTCGCCACGACACGATAAACTGTATTAAAGGGTCGCGGCACTAGAAAGGTTGGGAACCACTGGTGTAGAGCATATCATTTTAAGGTAGTTGTTGCACAAATAACATTTGCAGCGCCGCCTCGTGCAGTTTAATAAGCAAATATTTGTTAAATAAACCAAAACAATGAAACAACAAAACTCAAACTTACTTCCAATATTTTTGACAGGTAGTTGCGGAAAAAAAAATGTTTGCTTCTCCACTGGAACAAGAAAAAAACGCATCACAGTTGAAGGTTAATTAACTTTTGAAAATTAATTGTGGTTTACGGATTCATCACAACCCCTGAGACCGCCAGGGCAAAATTTCATGACAACTTCTTCACGTCTGTTAATCTTAACTTTTTAAAAAAAAAAGAATTGTGCAACACTGAGATGGATCATAGGAAAGAAAAAGGGTTTATTTTTATCTCCAAGTCTATATATTTCAGTTAAAAAGCATTAATACAAAATAACAGGAAAACGATTAGAGAAACACTGACATGGATGTGCATCAAGACTGCGCTGTTGGTATTGCCAAATGCTTAAAATCTTTATGGGAACAACAGGATTACTTGGATTATGAAGTTAAAGTTGAAGATGAGACGTTCAAATGTCATCGGTTGATTCTGGCAGCTTGTTCGCCCTATTTTGACGCCCTTTTTAGATCCGATTTGAAGGAAACGAGGGACGGATTCTCAACTTTGAGAACTATGTCCTCCACAACATTCCAGCTGATTCTTACAGCTATCTACACAGGAAGTGACGTGCTGACGGATGAGAATGTGATTGACGTGTGGAACGCCACTCACTTGCTTCAGATTGATTTCATGATAAAACATTGTGAAAAGAGGGTCGTCCAAGGATTGACTTTAGACAACTTTGAAGAGATGTACGCGCTTGCTAAGTTGCTGGATTCAAAGAATGTTGCAGATGGAATTGTTGAGTTTACTATTCGGCACTTTAATCAAGTTAAAAACTCTAATACATTTTGGCAACTTGCCCCTAATGAATTTTTATCAGTGGTAAAAAGTCAAGATCTGATGGCTAGTTCTGAAGATTGCGTCCTGGAATCCATATTAAAGTGGGTCGATTACTACAAAGACGAGACGACTACTTTGACATGTCCAGAAAAAGGTGAAGTAGAGTGTCCAAATTATACATTTCATGGAGGAAATTGCAAAGAAATAAAAAATCTTGATCAACAACAACTGGATATGCTTGGTGAAGTATCACGTGAGAACATAGAAAGCGAAGATATTACGGACATTGCAACAAACAATGTAAAATTTTGTGGAACTGGACCTGAGAAGGACATTCATGACACAGACACAATGAAAGAAAACTCTCTATCATTAAAGACTCAGATATCTAAGGAACATCGATGTTCTAGATTACAAATGTTGGCCCCGTTACTGAAATCTGCACGAACTTGCATCGCGAGTCCTACTTCTCTAGATAAGGTTTATAAAGATGTCTTAGTACAAGCAGACCATGAGGCTAAAAACATTATTTATGAGGCCGTCAGGTACCAGTTGTCCACGGCTAGAGACGGACAATGGATCCAGTGGCCATCGGCGTCAATTTACAGGGCGTGTAATAATTTTGACCACTTTGGAGTCTTTGTGCGACAAAATGGAGCCTCAGAGGCGTTGTCTCTGACTAGAAATAAATGGTTCAAGTTAGAAAAAATCCCGTTTCCTGATGGTGCCAAGTTTGTCAATATCAACGTTTTTAATAAGAAAATATATGCTTTGACTGGATTTGGCTATAATCGTTACGCTACATATGATTTTAAATCAGAGGTATTGATATTTAGAGATAAAAAATGGGAAACGATTACCCAAGTTGGCCCATTGCCGAGATTTTTTCTTATCAGTCATGGAGATTACATATACATCCTCGCCACGGATGAGTACGGAATTTATAGAATTAATTTATCTGACGAAGGTAAAACTTTATGCCGCTTCACAACATTTCCCGATAGGGGCATCACATTTACACATGCCATGGCCTTTGAAAAAAACATTATTGCTTTTTATAATGTCTCCAGAAATTGTGAATCTGCAACTGGCGTTTATCGTGTTAATCTAAATGACAAACAATGGGAACAACTTGACATCTTACCTGGATCAGCAAATGGACTAACACATTTTAAATATGACAGTGATACTTTCATATTACAAGGCAATGGGAATTTACATAAAATTGCTGTGAACACAGAAAGAGATTTCCTCTTTGAGTTTATAGAAAGACTTTGGGAAAATGAGTTTAATTTACAAGGAGCCTTTATGTACAGTGACAACCTCATTGTATTTGCAGCAGATTCCAGTAAAGCCGGCACAAGGACAACCTTGCAGAGACGGTTGTTTAAAGATAAAGATATAGTGATCAACTGGATTACCGCCGATGACATATCAAATGTTGTGCCAGTTGTCTTATCTAAAAACATCTTTGAAGTTTGATGACTTTCTCAGTATTCATTCTAAGAGTAGGTTGACGTCACCACAAAGAGCAACTCAAAAAATGCACCCCTTGGTTACTGCATAATTAGCTTTGTTTTATACTTTGTTTTATAAGAAAATATTTCTTGAACGCTTTGTCATGTTCACTTTGGGATGTTATAGAAGTTAAAGTTTTCTTGAGTGTGTATCAACATGTTTATGTAGATGCATAAAATAAATTTTTTTTAAGGCCATCAAGATTAAAGTGATGGCTGTATTTTTAATAATTGTGAATTAGTGTTTTATCCAGGGTATTGAGTCCAATGGCAACTCACGAGATCGTGCACCTGTCATTTTTTTTTCCTAAGAAAAAATACATATTTATTTGAGGGAAAAGGTCTGTAGGAGGAGTGGACTTGGGTGTGTTCCCAAACTTTTTTCCCAAGAAGCGGCCCCATGATTTTAAATTTTTATTTGTGACGCGTTGCATCTTTAAGCAACGCATTAAATAAAAGTAGAATAGAATATGTTTAAGGATTTTGTATCTTGATGATATAGTATGACAATGACAATGACTCTTTGATCACGAGTCTCATTATCGACTTTCATACTAATGTAGTTTCAAAAATTACATATACAAGTCCCATTTAGAGATGTGAAAATAAATACACTCACTTCACCCCCCCGTGGTTTAACTTCTTTCATTTTGTCAATGGCTGCTAATGGGAGCATGCTTTTTTTATAACTGACACTTTTAAATTTGTTTTCCTGATAAGAGCCATTTTTGGTAATTTTTTTCAATGAGTTAAAACTTAACTCTACTACTCTAATTCAATGAATAGCTTGTACCTTACAAATATTATTTTGTAAATTTTGTTTTTAAAATTAATTTAAATTGAAAGGACTACCAGAAAAGGCTTGAAAACCATTTAGACCTTAATTAAATTGATTTAAACTTGATTGTAAAGTCTAAAAGCCTTAAGGAATTAAAGACTTTTAGGCCTATACATTTTTGGTAAAAAAAATGTGTGATGAGTAAGGCATTTATAAACTTATTGTTTAGAGTTCAATGAACTCCAATATTTGCGTCAATTTATAGTTATAAAACTGTGATAAATTCTGCGGAAACAATCTTTTGTAAGTTTGATACTCTGGAGGTGTTCCCCCGAGATCTGTTTTTGGATGTTATTTTCTTTTACTTTATACAAACAACAAACAGCAAATAAACTAGAATAATAACGTTATAGACATTTTGATAACATTTTCAAAAAATACCAGAGACGTATTCCAGGTTTCAAATGTGCACTTGTGAAACATGATCGTGTTTGTCAAGATACTGCCTCATTCATTATGCAGTTCATAAAATACAACTTCACGATTCAAACTATTTCACATAGGAAAACTTCTCGGATCTTTACATTCCCAGAAGACGCATCAGCACCATGTAGGTTCCTAATCTTTTATTTATAAAATGATCAGGCTTTGTATACATTTCAGAGGCTCTCTAATATGTATATATTAATGTATATTTGCTTATATTACGTACCATTAATTCTTACATATATAAATGCTTCTATTTGCACTGGTAAAGACATTTGACAAGACGTTTAAATTTGTATTTTGGTTTAACCATAATTCAAGCTTAATTTGTTTTTCTTTAATTTATACAAATGTTTAAATTTGTATTTTTGTGTGACCATAATTAAAGCTTAAAGTATTTTGTTTTTATTTACACAAATTGCTTGTGGCTTAATCTAATTTTCACAGAACATACACATGTGTTTTTTTTTTGTTTTCGTTTTTTAATTATTTTTTTTTTAATGCAAGAATTGAAGTCATTAAAACGGACTATAAGTGGATATAATATAAATGTTAATGAACAATGTAACACAGTAAGTTCATTAATTGTAATACAGTGTGTGTAGGCCTCGAGAGAAAGTGATATACTAGATATCAACTCATCACACAGAACTAGAACGCAATGTTTAATGTAACCGCGCGCCATTTGTAGAAAATGGGATTTGACATAGCGTCCTGAAGCCTTGGCACTTGATTTTCTGCACTTTTTAATTATTTATTTTTAAATGATCACAAACGATTGTTGAATAACCAGCTGTAGCCCCGCCCAAACAAAGGTAACTTGACTCAGCAGGCATTCAATTAACGCACTTTTGAAGATTCCCAATTTGTGGTTACCAACCCCTACGCCTTCGGGGACGCCATCGCCCTTGAACTAAATTAATATCCTAAACCAAACATTTCTGTAAAAAAATATATATATATTAGGCGCTTGTGGTGTTTTTAAGAACCTCCTTCATCAAACTCATTCGAAATTTGACATTTCATTTAGTGAAATCATTGCCATCTGGCAGCACTTGTGAATTTGTTACAGAGATAATTATGTATTTTGTTATTAGAAAGAATGAACAGCTAAAACGGTTCTTCTTTTCTGACTTGAATTTTTTAAAATCTTTATTTGATATTATAGTGAGAAAATTATAATTATTATTCAAAATATAAAATGATGCAACAATAAACTTATTAACAATTATGATCTTTAAACGGTTTGTTTTTTCTTCTAGTTTTTAAGTGGGACATTGTCCATGGCATCTGTCATTATCTTGTTATATCATAGTGGTCAGTAATAAATAAACACGGAACCATTAGAGACAGACCGACCCAGGCATGGAGTGCACTTAATGAAACTCCCGTGTCAAGTGCCAGTGAGCCAGAAGTGCTGGACATGTTAAGTGCTGGTCACTCGACACGTTCGGAGCTCTCGTGTCGACAACGTAGTGTTGTCACTGTGACGTGTGGTCAGATGGGTGGCCACTGTGAGGTGTGGTCAGCAGTGTTGTCTTTGTGAGATGGGGTCATTAGTGTTTCCACCGTGAGGTGTGGTCAGTTATTTTGCCAATTTGGGGTTGGTGTCAGTGGTTTTGTCACTGCGAGGTGTGGTTAGCAATGTTGCCACTGTGAGTTTTGGTCAGTAGTGCTGCCACTGTCAGTTTGGGTCAGTAGTGCTGCTACTGTGAGTGTGGGTCAGTAGTGCTGCCACTGTGAGTTTGGGTCAGTAGTGCTGCCACTGTGAGTTTGGGTCAGTAGTGTTGCCACTGTGAGGAGTAGTCATTAGTATTGTCACTGGGAGATGGGTTCAGGGGTGTTATCATCAATGTTAGGTGTGGTCAGTAATATTGCCACTGTAAGTTGTGGTCAGTAGTATTGCCACTCTCAACTCTGGTCACTTTGTTTTCAGCTCCTGAATCTAGTGATGCCGCTTATTGTCTCTCTGCTATAGGACAGCTTGGTATGACGCTCTGAATATGAGCAGACGACAGTAGACGTGTATGGACGGAGAGAGAATCATAAATTAAACAGACCCTATAAATAAAGTTTTCGTATAAATCCTTTATAAAATTTAACATTGAGCAATTTTTGGGGGTGCGGGTGTGGGGGTGGGAGGGGAGGGGGGGCTGAAAAAATTGACAAAACATTCATACCAGTAAACCAGTAATCGCCTTTAATAATAATGTCAATTAGTCCCCTCACCCACCAAGACTCCCAACGGCACTTTTATTTTCACGCACCTGAACTATATTATGTTCTAATGACCCACCCCGCTTTTACACCGCAGATTCATTTCACCAACTATTTCAGGAAACAGAAGAAAATATTACGCCCCGAAAACGTGTGCGATTTTTTTTAAAGCATCTCATTTAGCGCGATTATTGGGGCATTTTATTTTGTGGAGTCGGTGTCAATATTTCCTTCATATTCCCTTTAAAAAACAGGAACAACTGATTTCGAGGTTGGGGTTAAGGATGAAAATTTGAAAGGACGTATTGTTATCGGCAACGCGTCTATGTGTCAAGTTTCAGCTCAATAGGCTGACGGGAAGTGGGTCTACTTTTTATTACATTTTCTTAGAAAAGCGTGTTTTTCAAGAATTGTTTTATTATTTTATCTGATGTTACATGTTTTTGGCATGAAAAGGAAAGTTTATGAAAGTATTGTTGCGCGTGAGACTATGACGTCCTCTACTAATAATTTTTCGCCAAGCAACATTATCCAATTGTTTGTAGTCCAAGGGAAAGGGAACGAGTACACGTTGTAAATATTGATCTTCAATAAATGCCCTTTGTTTCACGAGAGAGTGCAGTCCCTTGGGTGCTAATAACACACATACACACACACACACACACACACACATACTTAGTCATGTGTTCAATAAATGGTGAACAACGCAATCGAAATGGAAGTTACGAAAAAATAGAAACCGAAACTGATCAGGAAAGCAATGAGTTAGCACCAGGGTTGTCAAACCATCCGTTATTTTACTGACAGAAAGTTGGGATGTCCATAAAAAAATGAGACATTGCACACATTTATTTTGAAGCGGAACAAAACGAGATATCTCAAATTTTGTGATTTCTTCTTGATTGCTTGAAACTTGTTGGGTCCTCATCACGAGAAATTCAACACTGAAGAGGTTGCAGTACAATAAAATAACGGTTATCAAATGACATTACCTACATAGACATAACCTAGTGGTACGGGAATCGGAGATTTTTTTTTAGCGTTGCTTCCTTATTTTAAAATTAAATTGTGTCCTTAACAGCATCTGCTAGTATGTAAGCTGATTGATCGTTAAATCAAAAGCAAAGAATTCGAATCGCCACAAGTTCCTAACGACAAAAAAAAAAAGATCAGAAGAAGGGGAATAAGGTGGGTGAATGTTGCAACATAAAACAAAAATGAGAAAGACACAGCAATATAATAATTAATTGTGCGTCCGTACAGTTATTAACAAAAGTTAGGAGTATATCAGACAGATTTATGGCCACACCTATTGTTATTTCATAGAAGGCCTTAACAAAATCGATTTATTATTAAAGTGTCTTGATAAATTTGGGAAGTTCCGTTGTGTTAAAATAGAGTTCCCGGAATTGTATCCTTTCACTTTCAGTATTTAAACATTCCACAAACAGACGTCTGTCTTAGGTTTTTGCGTAGAAAATTAACCGTAAGTATACTATTAAATTACAATTTATTACAAATGAGATATCTAAGTTATTAAATACTATATTTATACTTTAATAGGAATAAACGAAATTCTGTAGGACTTTGATGTCTGGAGAGCAGATTGTACCTCTGGTTTTACATTTACTTCATTTAGGCTTCACTCAGTGGTGTAGCTAGGGAGGGGAATGGTGGTCCGAATTTGAAAGTTCCCTCGGGCCCCTACTTGAGGGGGGCCCCCAAAATGCGTGTCCGAATTTTTTTTTTTACATTAAATAATGTCGAATGTCAAAATGCAGGGGCCCTTAAAGAGGCCAAGCCCCCCGGGCCCCCAAATCCCCCCCCCAAAAAAAAAATACCTAGCTTCGCCACTGGCTTCACTTGAAAAAAATAACAGTTTCCTTATTATTACTATAAATAATTGTTATTATTGTATTTACTTTTTACAAACGAAAGATTTAAAAAGTGTATGGATCTTTAAATTTAGCTGGCAGAAAAAATGTTCCAACAATTTCCATTTATATTTCTGAAAACCAAAGTGAAATGGCCTGGATTGTCTTTGATGGAGTCAGTTCTATACACTCGAATGCTAGCTATCGGTTATTTTAATGTTTAACTGTGTCAATTAGTCCGTCAAAAGTCGAAAGTCGATCATGACTATTTCACTCATCGGACTGGTGCTGGAGCTGACTTTGTATTTCGGTGCGCAGATGGCATATCAGGTCGAGTCTGGCACGAAATGTTCCTTGAGCACGCGGTGCTAGGGCTAGATGGGACTTTACAGTGTTTGACGGCTATGATAAGATTTACCATTAAAAAAAATCACTGTAAAGTTGATAATTTTATTATGTAGACATTTATTTTACTCATATCTATACATAAGTTAGAACTAAATGTTATTCTGGAGTTGGCAATCATATTTCTTTTAAATTATTAGTAAAGATAACAATGAACATTCAGACGCCATGTCAACAGCTGTCACGTGTTGGGGTGAGTTGGTGCACTTAATTTGGTTTCAAATATAATTTATTTACCTTTTGATAACATTTTTGTTTTACTTTGAAGGGATGCTGTCCATAAAAAAAACCACACCGTCTAGCACCATGAACAAGGGCATCCACCAAAGGTGTGCATTCGGGATCATCAACTGCATCCAAACACTCTGGCAAGAGCAGGATCTACAGGACTTTAACTTTCAAGTAGATGACACATCGTTTCACTGTCACCGTGTTCTGCTCGGGGCGTGCTCTCCGGTGTTAAGGGGCATGTTTAAATCTGGTATGAAAGAAGATAAGGAAGGGTTTGCTAGGCTACAAGAGATTTCAAAGGAGACCTTTCAGCTGATTATTACGGTTCTTTATACAGGACGCGATGTACTGACAGTGGATAATGTTATAGACATATGGAAAGCTGCACACATGCTGCAAATTGATTTCTTGGTCAAACATTGTGAAAAGTGTGCAACCAAGTTCATTAAAACAGATAACTTTCATGAGTTTAACGAAAATGCAAAGTTGTTTGGATCAGAAACGGTTTTGAAGGTTACGCGAAAATTTATCCTAAAAAATTTCAATGCTGTTAGAAAAACGCAAGGATTTCTAAAAATGTCTTCGAATGAAGTGTTGTCAATCGTTAAAAGACAGGATCTTGTCGTGTCTTCGGAGGATATCGTTCTTGAAGCAATCTTAGATTGGGCAGATTATTACAAAGACGAACCAGCTTCAGAGCAAAGTCTTGATGTCAATGGAACAAAATGCCAACGAGGAAGTAATGACTACGAACAGGCCGAAAATGTTAGAAGTGTTGGAAATGTGAATACTGAAGGAAGCGATGTAAACCATCAGAAGGAAGAGCGGCGTGATAAAACAAGAGAAGAGGATAACAAGGAAAATGACGCACTAACAAGAAGCCAATCTCAGGCCGTCCACCGCAAATCTAGACTTTAATGTTTAACCTACCTTCTTAAGGCTTCTAGGCTATGTCTGGCAAGTTCTTTATTCCTTAAGGCTTTGTATAAGCATGAGTTGGTCAAACTACGAAGCAAGAAATATCATTTTTACTGCAGTCACGTACAAATTATCCACCTGTTGGCACGGACAATGGCCTTCAACGGCAATTCACAGGGAGTGTAGTGCTTTTGATAACTTTGGTGTCTATGTGTCAGGTAAAACAAACATAGAAGCTTTGTCTCTTGGTAAAGGGAAAGGGGTGAGACTAAAGCGCTGTTCAAATTTAGATACAATATTTCGCTTAGAGTCTTATAATAACGAAATTTATGCCTTTGGACAAAGCTCTAAAACATTATTTTCAAACATCTTATATATTTTTCGATTTGATGGCAATGAATGGAGAAGCGCCATTACAGTACCTGGTCAAGATACTAAAGCAATTCTTGTAGCCCATGGGGATTTCATGTATATCCTCTCTAATCAAGCAAAAAAACTCTATCGATTTAATCCCACCGCTGTATCAATCAATGTCCAGGAGTTCACACCTCTGCTAGCTCATACAGCATTTGAATGTGCTTTCAGCTTTGAAATAAACATTCTGGCCTTTTGTGACATCGTTGTCAATGATAAACATGAAACACGTGCCTATAGTCTGAATATCGCAGATAAAAAATGGACGCGATGCGGAGGATTTGAAGGACCAGCTAAGCACATGATCAGCTTCAGAGACGACAACGACTGTTATATTTTACAAACCGATGGGAGTTTGCGTGTCGTCACTGTTGGAATCAACGGAATTGTTGGGTTTACCTTTCTATCAAAACTTTGGGATTTCAACAAAGTTCTACACGGCGCCGTGATCTACAAAGATTGTCTAAACATATTTGGAAATGATCCCAGCAGTGAACTTAAGTATAAAGATGTAGCTTCTTTCCTGGCTGGGCGATTTAAAAACATAACACGCTTGGGTGATGACGATGCCACATCAAATTTCGTGCCTGCTACATTAAGAAAGTCTCAGTTTTGATCTCAGGAGGGTACTAAGTAATTACAGATCCAGTTAGTGACTTAGAAAAAAAATATATTTCCATCGTTTAAAAAAAAAAACCACAACAACAAATTTATAATTGTATCTACATAGATAAAAATGGACGTAAAGAAATAACCGGGAATAAATAATAAAGAAGTCTTTAAACACTTTATAAACCGGGCATGTTTTACAAATTTCTCAATCCGTCCGTGTAGAGCAGAAAACGGACACGTTTGATCCTTATAAGTATGGCCTTTAATCATTACTTTAAAGAAGTAATAGGCTTAGCGCAGGTTGATTCAGAACATTTGTTGATCATTGGTTCTTTGGAAAAAAATTAAGTAGGCCTACGAAAAAAATTTCTAATTACGCATTTTGATGCAACGTCCTTGTCAGTAGTTATGTTACATCGTAGGTTGTTGGGTTATAAAAAAAAAAATTGAATAAATGACCCGATGCTATCCGGATAATAATGGTAGATCCTTTGCAATAATTTCTAACTGCTATTGCAAAAGCTCATCACAATTCATAACATAAAAATATAATGATACTTACGTTTCTAACATCATTAAGTTTTGAGAGGTGTTTATCTGCTTAGATATTATAGGCCTTTCACGCTCATAAACTACTTTCCCCCCTCTAAACATGACCATGAATTACCCAATCTAAAGTATGACAAATTATATCACTTTTGTCACTAAAGAAGTTAACTGAGGACGATTTCTACGCTAGAGAAATGCCTTAGATGTACCCCTTTTCGTGCCCTCAAATTACAACTTTTTTTCTCTAAAAATTGTTTTAAAAAAATTATCTTAAATTTACAAACTTGTATATGATATATATATATATATTACAGGAATTTGATATATATCTATATTGATATCTTCATAACAAATTTGAAGATACTTTTGCCTTTGTAAAAAAATTATACTTTATCAGAAAATCGTAAAACAAACAATTCTATATCTAAAGAAGAATCTCGCAAACAGTTTTTTCACGTCTATAACAGACTTGGTTATCTTTTTTTAAAATAGTTAATCTCATTATAATATACACCCACTTTACTTTTCGCAAAGTAAAACAAAAATTAATTTTTTATTTTTTTGAAAAAAAAAAATATTAACCCATCTTTAATCCTCTTTGGAAAATGTTCAACTGTGTAAATTGCTTGGGTTTTGATATTCATGGGTATACTTATATAAATGTACCCACGTTTCGTAATGCCATTGATTTTCTTAATTGGTTAGCATATGTTTATTTGTAAAAAGAGAATATCTTTTTCCACAAATGTAATACGATAGGATTTAAATATATTGTCATCCACATAAAAATGTACACATCCTATTTCCTGCCTCCGATATATAGGTACCCAAATAGTTTAATTATTTATCGAATTCATTCCTATATTTTGAGACGCATCTTGTGCTGCCTTGGGCAAAATGACCAATTCCCCTAATCAAGACTTCTTATTAAAATTAATAAAATCTTCCACCGGATTGGAGTCCTTTCCATACCCAAACTAACATATTTTTCACTTCATTTGGTTTGTTCTTATTTGGAGGAGTTATAAGTGGATTAGTGAATGCTATTTGGCTATGGATTTTTTCGCTGTACTGATTGAATTAAACGACATTTTCTTATTAGAAGTCTATTTAAAGGTTAGTTTTTATTACGTTATAAATTCAATAAAAGTATATTTATGAAATTAAAACAGTTTTTAAAAATGTAAATGTTAAAAATACAAAGTTGACAAATGTGTGCGTTTTATTAAAAATTTAAAAAGCAATCAGTTATATATATTAATTTTAATTTTAAAGAAAGGGGGAAACGCATGATTAATTTTGTCACCCGCTGGTAAACCAAAGAAACCTTAAAAGTTTTGGCTAAATAGGCCATTCGTGATATGATGGCATGTGCGTAATTATTTAGAACAAATTAATTAAAATTTTATGTCGCAATAGTTAAAAAACCCTCTAAAAGACGGACTAAAAACAACTGATGGTTGTGTTTTCCCGATAAATGTGAATTTTTTTTTAGTGATTGTTTTACATTTTTAAAAAAAAAATTTTTCATAACTTTCGAACACACATAAAATTTAAAAATAGTTTCTTAGTTGAGACTTTAAATTTATTTGAAATTTATAATTACAATGCTTAATTTTAATAAAATATAAGCGGAAATAAAATATTTTTTTGGCTTTTAACTTTATTCGATTTCCGTAAAATAATAGAAAATAACTATGGTTGTTTTTAAGAATCTGAACGTCCTTAAATGTTATCGGTTCTTTGGCGTTATATCAGCATAGCTCATTTCAATATATAAAAGTCTATGTTGGATCTACGTCATTGTTGACCCAATAGTATTGCAAACAACAGTTTAGAAAATCAACTTGTCGCGTAGGGCAAAATACAGCCTATCATATTTGTGCCCGAGTATAATAGGGATTAAGCCAGCTAGCGCAATGACTTTGGCAGCGTTATTTCTAGGACGTAGTGTGACAATTTCTATAACTAAATAATACAGTCACCGTCAAAGAATCTTGATATAAAATGTAATTATATTATTATTTAAAAAAAAAAAAAAAACTTTATTCAAATTTCATTTACAAAATTAATCACATCAAAAAACTATGATTGCTCATCAATCATACAGTTCATGTCTCACAAATCATACGGTGCATCTATTTTGTCTTTAAATCTAACTTCTTATGTCTTGCAATCTGTGATAGTAAAGAAATTAACATTGGTTGAAAGTCTGATTTCTTTTTTTTTTTAATTTGAAGCTTAACATGTTGACTTAAGCATTGTCATCGGCATGAAGCGAAAAAGCTAAGGCCACCAGTCATTGTTACAGCGTGATAATTAAAATATATGTGAAGGTATTATTATTATTATAATTAGTGGTTTTATATATCGCGGTACCCCAGCCTAGTTGGGGGGAGGGGAGGAGGGGGAGAAAGAGGAGGGTTAAAGTATCAACATTCGAACTCTCCGCGATGATCTTTCACTGAAGGTATAACCATTCTTCAAATAGCTGGTGATACAGCGCCTTGGGAAAAATACGATAATGAGCATAAGAGAAGAACCCAATCTTTTAGGGCCATATTTCTATCAGGGTACCAAAACATGGCGTCCATTCCATTAAGAATGTATTAGCGCTCTCAAAATGATTTATTGCTTGCATGTTAGTAAATTAAACATAACAATTCAGAATCTTTTTTGGTCTGTATTTTAAGAATATTATTTTAAAAAATGACATTTTCCATTTCACTCATAACACAACTTAAGAAATTTCATTTTGCACTTGAACATAGATAGAGACATCAACCTGTTAGTAACTGTATGAAAATAAATCTTGTATAAATCTTGAAATTTGTTTCTCTTTTTTAATTATATGTTATTTACGTAATTTTCTTTGCTAACTTGAGATGACCAGAAAATATCAGAACATTTCACAAAATATCAGAAAATATCAGAAAATATCAGAAAATATCAGAAAATACCAGAAAATTGTTCTTGTAATTAATCAAACTAAAGCTCATCAAAAATTTCTCAACGCTGAAAGAATGACATTGTTGATCTCCTGAACAGATCAAATAAACTTTTTAGTTGTTTGTTTTCCTGGATTTTCATGGGGAAATGTTAATCTGATTTTTTTTTTTTAACTTGTTTTACATTAGTCGCCACTGACTCGCTAGCAATAAATGAACACAGAAATAACATAGACAAAATGGTCAGGCACATGAAGTGCCGCTTCACTCTACATGGCCAGAAAACTCTTATCGCTAACGTATTGTAACCATGATGAGGGGCGGTCGTGTTGACCCCAGGGAGGTGTGGTCATCGTTGTTTAACCCAAGGGGAGTTACAAAGTGCTCATTGTTTAATATGAATTCTCATATATATCAACTGACATATACATTAAAATAACTCTGTGGCATAGGTGCAAGTGTCTTGGTCTAAGGACATGATATACACTGTCATAAGGTAGTCGGACGGATTTTGGACGTTTAAAAATTATTAGTTTTAGTTTATTTTCAAATTCTGTTCATAAAAACATATGCTTGTGAGTACAATAAATGCGCAGACATTTTAAAATTTATTTGATTGAGTTGACACCTCGGCTACAATGTAAGACTATGATTACAGCCTAAATTAAAACAATGAGTATAATTTGAGGGTTGAAGTCAAGTAAGAAATCTCATGAAATCTGTCAGGACATACGGAACTGGACCACTTAAAATGGAAAAGACAAGTGATCTTATTTCACAAAAAATAAAACTTTGCGTGTGTAGCCTATGTCACAAATTCGATACTAGTGCTAGACATTCAGTCCTTTTCTTATGTTACACATTCAGTCCCTATCTTACACATTCAATCCTTATCTTACACACTCAATCCTTATCTTACACACTCAATACTTATCTTACACACTCAATCCTTATCTTACACACTCAATCCTTATCTTACACAGTCAATCCTTATCTTACACACTCAATCCTTATCTTACACTTTCAATCTTTGTGGAACACATTCAGACTTGGTTAATGCCTGCTTCTCTCACACGCTGCTCTTTCTTTTGTCCGTTAGCTTTACGCACAGCAATGTTCTCCTCCTTCACCCCTGGGTACACATTGCTTAGCCATCACAAGACTGAATTACATTATTTTTCCTCGTCGTTATGATCATTGATCATCACCTTTCCTCTTATATAAAACATGGAGTGTACTTGATAACCTTTACCTTGATTTAAACTCCAGCCTCCCCCCACCCCCGGGAAGATGAAGTGATAGATACGCCTTTGATATAAAAGAGAAAAGGGAAATTTGGACATTTGAAAATAACTCGACTGCCTCGGTTCTGATCACTCAGCACGCGATTGGGACACGCTGGAGCAGACGTGACGAGAAGACCTCAAGCGCCCCCCGAAACTGGACAGTTTTTTTTTTTGTTGTTTTTTTCATCAATGATTCCTGGCGTCAGAATAATAATAATAATAAAGTTCATTTAAAAAAAACACGCTTCATCCCCAAAGGCTCGAAGCGCGGTACAAAGTCAACAAAAAACAATCTATAATTCACCACATTTAAAACAAACACAACACTACAAAAACTAATTACAAGCATACAATATCAAAGTCTTTCTAGCCATTTCAACCCGGAGCAACACAGCAACACATGGAAAATAAGGTAGACAATCATCCCAGAAGGTATTTGCGAAATAGATGTGTCTTTAGATCTGTTTTAAAGGACTCCAGTGTCTGGTTGTTTCTAAGATCGACAGGAAGGGCGTTCCAAATTGTTGGACCAGCAAATGCGAAAGTGCGCTTTGAATAAGTCAAAGATATTTCGGGATGCTACGATAATTATTTATATATTTGCAGCCGACGTTCCTCTTCCATCAAGATATTGATCCTATAGTATTTTCAGAAAAGAAACATTATTTTTGCCCCCCTATATTTCCACCCAGATTTTATTTAATTATTTTGCTACAGCTCTAAAGAATGCCCCCCCTCCCCCAGTCCCACAAAACCGCTAGGCTTCTTTTCTATCCGGGTTAGATTTTGAATTTGTTAAGCTAGAAATACGTCATCACGCCGCACGGTGTGACCCCAAAGATTTACATAATTTTAAAAAAAATCTAGTAATTATGTATAGTATCACGCGACTGGATGGAAGTGTGGTTTGAGTGTGTCAACGTCAGCATGAGCATTGGACTGCACTACTAGGCCCAACAATGCCTATTTTAATTATTCTGCCAGATTAGCTTTGTAAAGTAAAACACTACGTCTCAATGCTACGGAAGTAAACCCCAAACAGAACGTCCG